TATATAACCTAACAGATAAATTAAGCAGCATTTAAATACATTTAAATAAAACCTCAATGATAACTCCATTCATAGTGGACCAAATAAGCAGCATTAAACTAAAAACCTTGCAGATAATTCAGTGGATAAAATAAGCAATTTTTTAATATAAAATTAAGAAATAAAACCTTGACGATAACTCAGTGGATAAAAAGAAATATGCTGACTTAAAGATAATTCAAAGTAGATGAGCAAGGAAAAAAAAACATTGCTAAATTAATTGTAGATAAAACATATGACTTGAAATTGAAGATAATTCATAGAGGACAAAATAAGCAACTTTTTTCTTTTTTTTTTTTTAGAAATAAAATCTTGAAGATAACTCAATGGATAAAAACATGCTACCTTAAAGATAATTCAAAGTAGAAGAAATAAGCAGGAAAAACAACAATTAATTGTAGATAAAATACACAACGAATTGAAATTGAAGACAATTCATAGTGGATAAAGTAAGCAGCATTTAAAAAAAAAAATAAAAATACAATAATAATTCATTGGAGAACAATGCAGTTTGGATACAGCCCGTCAAAATAGACTGAGCATTCTTGAACTGTGGCATGCAAATCAAACCAGTAACCCCCTACAAGAATGGCTGATGAGATGAAACACATACCTCCCATTCTACCCATGCCACCAAATCCCATTCCATCCATTCCTATGGAGAAAATGCTTTCATGGATAGGGGAGGGGAGTGACGGTCAGTGAGTGCGTACAAGAGGAAACATTCCAAAAAGATCAACATGCGACATGCTGTTACCTCCTGGTCCCATGTTGCCCATCCCACCCCGGTTGAGCTGGGTAGCGTCGATGGGTTGACCGCCGGGTCCCAGACCGAGACCAACACCGCTCAGACCACCTGCATGAGACGGTGGGAACTGGTTTAGAGAAGTAACTAGCCAACTGCAAGATTTATGGTTGATGGTCCATACAGCAAGCGTGAATATGAAATCATCACTTACGAGGAAGTGCTGGAGGACGGTCTGGGGGAGCAAAGTCACCTTTGGGAAGAGATTTCTCATCCTGAAAAGATGTGAAGGGGTGGATTTTGAGGAGTTTAAAATCATATTGCCAATGTACCGCTAAACTATAGAAGCTTGTTTCCGCCAAAGTATAAAAATTAAGAGGTTATTGTGACTTTCTTTATTATTGACTGAAGACTTTTCGCAATTAAGAAAAAAAAAGAAAAGAAAAAGATTTGCAAGAAACTTAAAATTGCAAGTTTATCTGAAGATATATTCTGAGTAGGGATATGCCGGTATCAAAGTTTCATGATGCGATTAATTGCTAATGCTTTTCTCACGATATACGGTATTATCACGATATTGAAATTTTGTTTAAAAAAAAGTGCTGTCATAATACAGTATAACAGGTTTAATAACTTTTTTCTTATAACAAAAAATAACTGAACATTTAAATGCAATAAAGCAATACAGAAAAATGTATAAAGTTAAAAGTTTTACACAGATTAAAGTGCAAAAGAACTATAAAGACCAATAGGTATCCCTTTACAATAAGACCTCATTAGTTAACCTTAGTTAATGCATTAACATTCACAATGAGCAATAGCTACATTTGCTACAGAAGTTATTAATCTGTTTAAAAAATACAAGTCTTAGTTCATGTTAGCTCATTAAATAACAGTTGCAACTTTTGATTTTAACAACGTGTTATTAAATATTGTAATACCTAAGATTAATGAATGTTCAGAAGAATTTTTCATTGGCAGTTTATGCTAACTAATGAATTAACTAATGAAGCCCTAATGTAAAGTGTGACCGAACAATAAAGAATCAAAACACTTTCAAACAATATCTAGGGCATGTTGTTCACGCAGCATACAGCGGTGTTGTGCATTTTGACCAGTTGATGAGAAAAGTATTCTTAAAATGCATAAATTCTGAATGATTTGTAATATATAATTATTCACGGTATTTAGAAGTGCCCACGATAACAATATCGTGCATATTCATTACCGTGATACACCGCACTACCGAATACCGGCACAAGTCTAATTCTGAGAAGTCTGAATTAAGATGCAACTGCAAGAAAACAAAACGACTGCAAGATGTAAACTTGTAAAATGCAAAAAGTCACAATTTTATTTTTTTTATTCTGCAGCAGAAACAAGCTTCCATGCTAAACCCATGTGATTACTTACCAGTTTGACGTGCATGACCCTGTTGAAGAGAAGCTGTCCGTTGAACATGGCTAACATCCATTAAGGAAAAACTTAAAAGCACTGCACATTTTAAATAGTATTAACTTCATTACAAACAACGTCACATATCAAAAGCTACTGTGAAGGATACAGACTGCTTGAACGGCCTCAATGGGCATCTCAAATGTGACCGTTCCCATTCCCCTGCTTTTCCCGTCTTTATCCTCCAGGATATCTGCACGCACAACCGCTCCAGCCATTCCAAACACCTCCTTGAGCTTCTTCCATCCAACCTTGTAGTCCAGCTGTGCAGAGACACAGCATATGAAAAGTCAGTGGTCAAGTTTGAAAATATGGGACATATGGTTACAGAGTGGTTTCAAAGTCTTACATTGGCCACAAAAATGGTGCTTCCGATTTTTCCAGCCTGGAGTCCATGGATGATCTCGTTGGGAATGTTGGGGTTGTTCATGAGACTGGGAGGGATGTTGACCATTGAAGGACCACCAGGCCCCGGGCCCATCCCCATGCCCATTCCTCCACCCATGCCTCCTCCCATTCCTCCACCCATGCCTGGGGGTCCACCACCACCACCACCACCACTCCCCCCGTGAGCACGATTAGTTTCACGCTGGGCAATCACTCCATCTGGATCCTTGGAGAAGCACAAAGAGGATTGTTTATAACAGGCCACTTTAATACATTCAACATCAAGTATTCACATTTATGATGATTTTGCTGGCAGAATAAAATACCACAATGATTTTAACATGCTTTTGTCAAGACTATTTTTACAATCGTTTCAATACTAAAAATTTTACATTAAAACTGTTAAAATAGTTGTCTATAATTCATATTCAAACATTAAAAACAATGTGGAAGGATACAATTTATTCCATGGATTTTTAGCTCTAACTAGGGATGTCAACGATTAATCGGTGATCGATTAATTGTCGATAAGAGATGCAATCGATTAAAGCTATCGATGGTCGATTAAGTCGTTTAATTTTGGGCGTGAATGTAGGCTATATGGGCTCGAACGGCATCCAAAAGCATGGTCGCGATGTAACATTTTCCAGCTAACCAATTATTCCTCTAATAAAAGCTTTTATTCCACACTTGTCATAATCAGAGCTTATAATTTGTAAATAAATAATTACTGGATTCAAAACAGCAATTAAAAGGCGCTGTGACCGACACTTGTTTTCCCGGAGCATTCAATGATGTCACTAAACGGTGATGCCACAACTAAGAGCATCGTTCATATAAGAATTCCTTTGTACCTGTATCGGTGCGGTTGTATTACAAGAGTTCATCTTGATTTTATTTTCATGATTTTACTTAATTTTGTTTTTATACGTTTATTGTATGTCTGCAGCAACATGTAGTCCATAACAATTTTCCTCTTGAGGACAATAAAGTATACTACTCTACTCTCTATATGCGAATGCGTGTAAAGTACAAGCCTAGTTTACATTATAAATTATAGTTTAACATTCAAATACATTACGAATATGGAAACATTTGGATTTGTGCCGAATGAGACGTGAGCAATAAGCTCCAAATACATCTAGCCAAACCCGCGCTCGCTCTGTCTCGTATGCACGCAAGCATGCACCGTCACGATCTAATGCACTGTAAATGCCGGATTTTTAAAAACATGGGTTTTTTTTTGAGTAACTTTTGCACATCCTGTCATGCACAGACGCATATGTCTGCATAGACGCATTTTGCAGCATTAAGGTTAACGATTAATTGATCAATTGATCGTTAATTTAAACGATGATCGATCATGGAAATGATCGAAAATTGACATCCCTAGCTCTAACATAACAAAACTTCAAGTAAAAACAAGTAAAAAGTGTATACCTTCACACTTTAATATTTTGGTATCATTTAACATTTTTATATGAATTATATACACCAGAAACATATTAATGTAATATTTTTAACATTCAAAAGTTGAAAAAAAAAAAAAAAAAAAAGTGACTATGATTGTAAAAAGGAGATTTACAAAACTTAAATAAAACATGCATTTAAATCATTATGGTGTAAAGACAGACTATTTCTACAATCGGGTCAGTGTTTCCAATAGTCTTGACTGAAGCATAAATATATTCATAAAATTGAAAAATATAAAATAAAAAGCAACTTAATATTTTAATGTCCACTGATATAAGTTACTTAATATTCCTATTTTAAAAATGGTGTGGAAGAATACCATGATTTTTTTGTTCTTATGGTAAACTTAAAATCAGCTTGGCTTGAAATAGACATGGAAAAATGCATAGAAATGTAATGTCGCAAATAGACTGGGGAAAAATTTTTTTTTTTTTATCTATATTCACCCAGATGTTATTCATCTGAGAGATGGCACAAAAGAGACGAATGAGTAAAGATCAATGGGCTGAATGATACTTACGCACAACCCTTTGTTCAGTCAGCACACCAGCCAGGATGAACAAACAAAACAAGAATGAGAGAGACAATTAGACAAAAGAAATCCGGTAGAAATCACTGACAACTGACTCAGGAAAAATACTTCAGACACACTAAATTGATAAAGAATATTCATATAATACTTCTCTGTGGTGTTCACTTAGTGCATAACGGTTACATAATTACATTCAAACTCAAAATGACTGACAGGATTAATTGACGACCAGAATACACAACCGGCCTTCAGTTCCAATTACTCGTTCAGGCTCCATTTCTGTTGTTATCCCACTAGTGGAGTCGCTCAACAAATCATTGATGCCATGTTATCCATATTTAGTAATGAGAATCGCAGTGCAAAAAATACTACCTCTTAAACACACGAGAACCAGAATGACTATATTGCTGGGAAACGATCCCTGCGGTTCCACTCAGAGTCGGCGTCCATTTTTGTTCAAATGCCACCCAAGACGACACATTTTGAACTCTCAACCCAGTCCTGAACATCCCACATTAAAATCTAAGAGTACATGTAAGAACTCAAGCGGACAAATGGAGGTTCGTCTCTTGCACTTACCCTTGATTTGCCTTCTCCGTCCATTAAGTGTTCCACGTACGTTACCTCACCCACTACAAATCAGATTCCAGACGACACACACCAAGGGGAGAGAAGCCGAGAGAACAATTGGGGTTTAGAGCAGACACAAACGGGGGGACGGTGAGAATGAGCTCGGCCTGCGAGTCCAGAGCCTCCTCCCCCAGCACCTCAGCAGCACAAATTCTGGTACAGGTCTACAAGCAGCAAGCTGTAAAATGTGTTCAGGAAAACTTCTTAAGCTGTCCTTGCTGGGAACCTCAACATCCAAGACTGACCAAAAGGATTTGACCTCCCGAGCCATCGAAATTGGAAGGATTGTCAACTATGGCCTTTGTTGGACGTCAAAGAACCTTTTCTGATAAAGTTAACAAGTCTTCGGCTACCTCCAAAACATTCGACACACCTAAACCTTGGCGTTAGTGCAAAAAAAAAAAAAACAGTTACTAAATAAAAATAGCTAAACCTATATTATAAAAAAAAATGGTTTGAAGTTACAGAAACCGAAACCTCGTCCACCTGGAACCAACTTGGCTTCCCCACTAAACAATTGGCATTGAGACTCTTGAATTTTATCGAATAGCCAAACCAGCTCCAACAAGTCCCGTTGGATGAACACTCAAGAATAGAATTAGATGCTGACGAGACTGCAAACCCAAACAAGGTCTAGTCTGTTTGTCAAAAACTACCTCGAAGAACCACCTGGCATTTCTCCAGCAAGAACGTCTGTCCATAAGATAAAACAAGGACCAGCTTAAGAAGCTGCTTTACTCTGTAGACCTGTACCCCCAGAAATCAATCACATCCATTTTTTAAGGGCACAATAATGAAGATCTGCTGCAACAACATTCACTCTGGCATTCACCTAAAAAAGAAAATGCAATTTAATTCTACAAGCAACAATTTCCACATGAAATTCCCCATGCGTGCGAATCATTAGGCATGGAGGGGCTACTACACATGGATAGGGAAAAATGTTACCACTCATAGGTTGTTCTGAAATACTAACCAGCAGGTAAGGGTAAAAACTAAACTTTCTCCAAAGCCAAAGAGACCGATTAATGGCATCAGATTCATATGAATGGATTAAACTGTTTTATGTGTACATGCAATTCCCACAGTTTTAAAGTGCCATCCACCTACATTAGCAATCTTGAATTATTAATCGTTTTCCACAACTGCCTTTTTTCCCCTCGAGACACTTTTCGAACAGCCTTTTTCCAAAAGACCACTTCCCCATGATGGGATGTTTATCCTCTGACCTAAAGCAACTGTGTAGGTGGCCACCTTCAGAACCCCCAGAACTAAAAGTAAAGCTCCATGGCTCTAACCTAACCTAGGATGTACAACTAAACATCACAAAAACGTACCTTTCTCCTTCATGAGATCTTTCAGAGTTTGCCATTTAACATCATAGGGAATGTTGCTGACAAACACACGGTATCTCTTGTTGGGGTTTCCGTAAGGTTCAAACCGTCCCCCGCCACCACGCTTCTGGGGCCTCTCCTTTCTTGACTCATGGTTGGACTTGCCATTCACTGCATTTCTGTATGGAAAGAAAAATGAGCAATTCGATAAATGTTTTCTCAACAAAAAAAGAAAATCATGCAACCAACCTCATGAGACAAAACTACATTTAGCTTGGTTTTCCATTTATGTTTAACGCAGTTTGAATTTTCTTTAACCCTGTTACCAAAATTTTGGATGTTTCTAAATACAGTTTAAACACCTTCTAGCAATAAAATGTATTTAAATAAGAATAAATAACAGGATTGAAAACGCAGCATAAATTACCGACAGTCACTCTAGACAGTTTGAGACCAAATGTTTTTGTAGTTACTGAATTTTTTCCCCTAACAATAACTTGGGTAACAGGGTTGCGTTTGCGGCTATAGAAATGGTGGAAACTGTTGCAAACCATTAAATGTTATATTTCTAGTCAATTTCTTTTTTAATTTAATATGACACTATATTAAACAAATTAGCATTTTTAAAATAAAAAGTACTAAACTATTCTGCATAATTCAGTTTAATTTTCTATTTATGTTTGGCAGAGTTTGACTTTTCTTCAACCCCGTTACCAAACCTTAGGATATCTAAATACAATTTAAAAACCTAATCTGTGACTTTATTTTCTAGCAGTAAAATTAATTAAAAAAATAAATAAAAATATATATATATATATAACAGGGTTGAGAATTTTCAGCATAAATTAGAAAGTCACTCCAGCCATTTCGACAGTTTTTGCAGTTACTGAAAAAAAGAAAAGAAAAGCGTGTTTTATCTTTTTTCTATCAATCACTTGGGTGACAGGGTTGAGCTTGCAGCAACAAATGGTGTAAACTGTTGCAAACCGTTAAATTTTTAGTTGCGAATTTAATACATACAAAACTATTTTAAATTGAACAAATTTAAGCTTTTATATATTGTAAGTACTAAAAACAACATTGTTTTGCTTAAGTGTTTTTTATTAAATGTTAACATCTAAAACAAGCACTTCATGTCAACTAAGGGCAACAAACTAGGCCGCACCAAACAAAGGACACTCATCTTGCTTGTTACGTAACAAAAAGTCGTTCATATCTCGTCTACATGCTTTATTTCGTGTATTAAGCACATTTCTTGCATGAGATTTCCTTAACTCGTTTCTTCCCATTGTGAATCCAACGACTCTTTGTTTCATCAGGATATGAACCAAACAGACGAGTTTGTCCTTTAACGCTGATATTTTACTGCAACCTACTTATTATGAAAAGCGCGCTATGCATCCAAAACATTCCGTACCTACAATTGTTTTAAAGATATAAAAAGCAAAACATGGAGTAAAAAGGCATGCAGCTATAGCGTTACCCTTGTTGTTTCTCTGGCTTCTCTGATTTAACGTCGGTCGACATTTTGCCTTCAGATGTTCGCTGTCCTCCTCCTTTATCAGATTAAACTGCTCTAACCCACTCAGACTAGGTCTAGATACAGACAAACACGAGTTTAAGGTCGTAAAAACAATGAGGGTCGCTGCTCAGTTGTGTTGTTGTTGTTCCGTTGTCGCCACAACAGCAAAAAATGTTCAGTCTGGAGTCCTTCGTCTGGTGAAATGGCGGCGACACAGAAAAGGCGAAGCTGATATTGGACGCGAAGAGATGCATGATGGGAAACCGCGTGTGACGCATTCTAGTTTAAAACTCTCAGGTGACCAGTTCACATAAAATATCTTAGATTCACCGTAGTTGTTTTTTTTAAATGTATCATATTAGGACATTGATAGTTAGATTTTTTAATACAGGCCTAAAAGATTTAAAGCTTTTTGTTTTCTGAAGGTCTATGAAAATCCAAAAAAATACGAAAATTACGTTAGTTTGACATTCTAAACAAAGAGCCTAGTAATCAAACCAAACGAACATTTGTTTACAAAAAAGATGCGACTGTCCCCTCATTTCCACCACACTGAACAATTTTACTCCTAATAATGTATTTTCATTCTAATATTTGTGTATCAAAGAGACGGTGTCAGTTAAAAGTCTGAGGTGAAATGCGTGAGGAAAACAAAGAAAAGTCAATGTAAATATCACTTATTTTTCCATTCAAGCTGTAATTTTCTCACATTACACGAAACGTGTGGAAAATGATTCCTTATGTATTTTGTATAGCCTACATGTAGGCCTAATTATGGCCTATGCTAATTATGAAATTAAAAAGGGCATGAAAAGGGTTGCCACGTTTTTCTAAAAATGTTTGAAAATCACATAATGCTATTAAACAGTATATAATTCAATATGTAGTGGAAATTACACTTTGGTGGGAAATTTCATGACACATAAAAACTTTTGGACAGAGTTGTTTTAACTATTTGAATTGCAATTCAGCTCATTTTATTTAAAATCATCCTTTTTTTCAAATTCTAATTCAACATCCTGTGGGGCTTTTTAATTTCATGTGAACATAATATTAAATGCTATGAAAGCCCACATGATGGAATAAAAAACAATTATAAAGGTAATTGTAACTTATCTCACAATTCAGACTGTTTCTCATAATTCTGAAAGAGAAAAAAACTCAAGAATTCTGACCTTTTTTTTTTTTTACATCCCACAATTTTCTGACTTCTCAGAATTGCGGGTTTATATCTCAGATCCCAGTCAGAATTGTTTACATTTATTTATTTTTCTTTATTCTGTGCTGAAAATAGGCTTCCATAAAATGCAGAGCATAAAATGGTTTGTAGCCCAAAAGAGTGATTTTAAGCTATTTCTGAAATTGTGCAACCCCTCAGAAATCTCTCGAAAGAACAACAGCACAGTTACCAGGTCCAGAGCATCGTTTTTAATTTGCTTTGCACACTTTTCTTGGCTGATTTCAAGCACCAACATATTTTGGTGAGGATGTTACAGACATCTTTCTCTTAGCCACTGCACAACATAAACATTGTAGTATTTCAAAAGGTCAGTGATAAAAATCCTGTGCTCGATGAACAACTGAAAACAAAAAAAACAGAAGCCAAATGATACATACAGTATGAATACATTAAAACACACACTGGCAAAATTAGAGCTATTTCAACGGAATCAACAAACTATGCGAACATGTGTACAATTAAGTTCAGATTTGGAAATGCCTCCTTTTTGAAACTGCAACAAAAGATAACCCCCCCACCCAGAAATTTACAACTGAAAAATTTCCATGATAAATTAGTGAAAGTGCCATTGTATTTAAACAAGAAAGCATGCACTGAAGGAACAGATAAGTTCGGTTTTATTAACATCATCATTTGAGCTGCTGAACTGCTCTTGCAGTGTTGCATATTGTGGCCAGCTCATTGGCATCCACTGCATGTTAAAAACACAAAATAAACAAAACTATGAGTTCAACATTGTGTCCAACTCTTATGTCCTTCATATGCAACATCTACATCTATGTATATATCATACATGTATTGTTAAGGTTATAGGTAAGAATTTCATTGTAATATTTTAGAAATTGCACTCTCGATGTATTACCCAACATTGCAAAATAACCAAGGAATGGCCCAAAAAATGAATAAAGCAGGTGGAAGCACAACAACGAGACAGCATTCCTCAAGTTAGCATTAAGCTGGTAAAGTTGCCTATCATTGGTGATCCAACACCACTAGTGGTTTGAGATGATGGTTCAAATCAGCACAAAAGAGCAACTTCTTTCCAGAAAAACACTGAGCAATGGGAAAGATGATGATTTTGATGATGGATTATTCCTAAAACTCTTCAAAAATATCAAAATAATTATTATTAACAAATAATGGCATCATATTTAGTGCATCTATTGCACAACTTTTCCCCCTTAAATTAAAGAATCCATTTAGAGAGGAAAAACGTTTTTCTCCCATCTTCCAAAGCGAAATTAGCTCATGGGAGATGGGGGGGGGGGTGAATTTGAGGGGAAAATCCTTTTGCATGTTTGAATATCCAACTACAGAAGCACCTTTTGGTTTCAAACTCGCTCGTTTGAGGCACTGAACATCGTCAGTGCCGCTCCGACCGCGTGAACTACAAGCGTCTAAGCGCAAGCCAATCAGCTGCGTCCTTTCAAAAAAGTGGTCAGCAAATAATCGAGACATTCATGGGCCTGTCTGCTCCACACACACACATACTGAACCCTGGACCTACAGCACACAACACTTCTTAATAACAGAGACATCAGTTTATCTATACATTTACAATTGAGATGCATCAGAATTTACAATAAAATAATTAGTGGACCTACATATCTTAGGTAGCTCATTTTATTAGCCTTAAAAGAACAGTTCAGCCACAAATAAAATTCTGTCATTATTTATTCACCTTCATGTTATTCCAAATTCACATGCTGTTTTTTTTTGTTGTTGTTTTGTTTTCCTCCAATAGATGCTTTTTTCCATTACGGGATAAAAAAATAAAGGTAATTGCAACTTTTTATCTTACAATTCTTTAAGATAAAAAACCTAACCCTAATCTCACAATTTTGACTTTTCTCAGAATTCTTAGTTTACAATTTACAATTTTCATTTTCTTTCCTCAGAATTCTGAGTTTAGAATCTTGCAATTCTGTTTTTTTTCTGCCACAGAATATAAAATAAAAAAGGTGACTGCAACTTTATCTCACAATTCTGGCTTTTTTTCCACCTAATTGCGAGTTAACACCTCACAACTTTTCTGAATTTCTCAGAATTGTGAGGTAGTCCTGTATGATTCACAAAATGAGCAAGGTGCATCGAGAGAAAAAAAAAAGATTTATTTTTTGAACAATACCAGCAGCATTTGTGAAGTGGAGAAGTGAAAGTGAACTGAAAAAAGTAATACTGTTTATTGAATACTTGCTGGTATTGTTCAAAAAAATAGAATTGTGAGATACACTTAAAACTATCGGATGGACTTGTAAAAGAGCACAAAAGAACCACTTTCATTGCGATCTTGAAGCTTGACAGAGAAGATCACTACAAACTGTCGTTGTACACCTTCCAGAAATTATTCACCAAAATTGTTCTATGATTAAAATAACAGCAGTCAAGTTTGGACTGGAGTGACATTACGGTGAATAAATAATGACATTTTCATTGTCAGGTGAACAATTCCCTAAGTGCACTTCACCGCCAAAAGTTTGCGCAAATCGCACACTTTCAGACCTAGATCTTCTACAGCAAGTGCATAAGGCGCAAAAAGTCCACATAAAGAGTGGCAAATGTGCAATTATTACGATTCTGCATATCCCAAAGAACCATTCCCACACTTTCAGATGGTACGTAACAGTAGGGAATGAAAAGATCTGATGAATGGTGTTCTGCAGATTCTTCTTGCACCAATACGACACACATCTAAAAGAAGCCTTTGCTTAAATACTGTAGAGTCATTCATGGATGACGGTTTCATTACTGGTCTGGCAATGATGTTTAGCTATACGATTACTTCTTCCTCTGCGGCTTGACCTGCATCTTCCACAAAGTAAACTGCTACAAAATCCCAAGTATGCCTTCCACAACCTCGGCCATTTGATACCTTCTAAACAGCACAAATAGGCAGAGCTTACAAAATGCATACTGTAAACACACATACACATTTGTCTTCAAACACCAAAAACACGAAGGAAAAAAAAAATATATATTTTGAAAATGATTCTGAACTGTAGAGGTCTGTTTGCATCTGCACTTACCACAACATAAAGTTGCCACATATTTGCATCCCAAAAACGTATACGTATCTACATTTGTTCAGCTCACATCTAGGCTACGTTGTCAGAAAGTGCTACGAATTTAGAATCCCCGCATGTTGTTTTACATTGTTCGGAGACCATTCGGTTCGGAAAAACAGCCCACAGCAGAATCATGACAATGGCGGCGTGTTATTGCACTCTCTTTTCTCGCTCCGGATGAGCTTGAGCGTCCTCTACGCCGCAGCAGATATACATCAGCCTCCACATTCATTGCTCAGGCATATGGCCCTGTAATACCCATGTGGATCGAAGCTTAGAGCTTACTTGTTAACTTAGTGTGTATATATTTATATATTTATATCTTGACTAAATTGTATAGGAGCCACAAGAACTAAGTTCGCTTAGGTGCGACTCCGTCGGGTTCAGATGGAAAGTACTTGAAGGTAGGCGAGTAGAAAAACGATATATCGAAAACGAAAGAAAGGTTTGGTTTTAAGCTTCAGCAGCCATATGTACTTGAGTCATAATCCCTCGCCACTGTGCTCAAAGGAATCGTCTATACACATAAATTAGTTTTCCGATTGTTTCAAATACAATGCATACTGAACAGTATGGGGCCTCAGCCTGGCTGCTCAAGCCCCAGATAAATAAAAGGTGTCTTTAAACAACACACTCATAAAGGCTCCAAAAAAAAAACATTAAAAGAGAAAAAATGTAAATAAAATAAATGAAGTGCTCACATATTTAGATAAAAAGGATTAAATAGAAAATAATGCATCCATAATGCCACGGCTCTAGTTGACGACGCTGCGTCAAGAACATGTAGCACGCTAATACCACCGCGATCGGGCCCTGTTCCCCTGCACCACGTCTCTCATACTATGGTCTCGTCTGCTGTCTTTTTCAGCAGCTTTGTGGAAAGCAAGGAATGCTGGGTAGAGTGTGCACCCTTGGTGTCAGGAATGAGCAAGCGGACTTTCTGATTGGTTCGTCTCCACTCGGAGTACAACTGACAGTGGTAGCGGAATGAGACCTGCAAAACAAGGACACTTTTTCACACTTTTGATTAAAGGACCAGGTCCTAAAGATTAAAATGATGAATTTCATGAAAAATATATCTGGGTGACATTTCACGCCAAAATGAGAAGAAAAAGTATGAAAGTATGATTAAAAAAAATTACAGGAACATTCTCTCCACTCTCCAACTGTCATTACCGGAATATAATGAGAATCATCCTGTCAGGACACAAAGATTTTTTTTTTGCATTAAAATCAGCATAAATTAAAGGTGTTACAAGAAATATTATAGCATAAAATAGTAAAAAGTTTACATTTTGTATGAATTACAGCAATGAGAAAGTTTTTTCTGCATTATGGTAATAAGAATGAGTTTTTTGCATTGTGGTAATGAGTATGGGATTTTTTTGCATTATGATAATGAAAATTGTATTTCTTTTAACTACAATAATGAGGGTTTTTTTTTCATATTAATGAGAATTTATTTTTCATTGCATTAATAAAAACCTGATTTTTTTGTATTGCAGTAATGGGAAAGATTCTTATGCATTACGGTGATGAGAACAGGATCTTTTTACCGCTGCAGAAAGGAGGAACATTTACACTGTAAAGTAGTGGTTACTGTGTTAGAAGCAAAAAAATAAAAAAGACATGTTTTTGCATTATGGAGAAGAGAACAAGATATTTTTCATTGCACAATAAAAACGATTTCTTTGTATTATGGTAATGAGGACAAGTTTTTTTGCATTTTGGTAAAGACAACGAGATACTTTTGGCATTGCAGTACAACAAGATTTCTTTTTGTATTCTTTGCCTTTTAAAACATATTTTACACAATTAACAGAAAGCATTATTTCTTTTACTTCCTTTTGGGGTGAAATATGACCCAGACATGTTCAGATAAGTCTTCCCCCAAAATGAATGTCAACATTCTGCTTTAGAATAAAAATGTCAATGTAATCTGCATTTAATTGGATGTAATACACTACCAGTGTCCAGAGGACGTAGATGGTGAAGAGTGCGATGGTCAGAGCGATGAGGCCGACTGCCTCCAGGCGACTGTTGAAGTGCAGGTGGTCCTGTGCACCCCGTAGACACAGCCAGCCTGAGATGGCTGCAAGGGGTGTTATAAACAGGAAGCACACCATGTCACAGAAGAGGGTGCGCTTCTCATTCCGGGGGCCCGGGTCCCTGAGCCACTATTGAAAGATGATGTGAGGTTTACTGATGATGTATAGATAGACAGTTTGCCCAATACCAATAATTATATGTTATGACCAATAACCAATATCATGGTCGACATTCTTTGTAAAGACCAGTGTGAAAAATATTTTACCACTTTTTAACTTAATTCGTTATCAATATTGGGTCCACAAGTGCTATTCAAAGGTAAAGTAACTTATTTAAATGTATTGTTTGGATAATTTTTCAACTGAGAAATGTGAACCTAATCAATTAGACATGACAAAACTGAGATGGAAATAGATAAATTCAAAAGAACAGAAATATACAGCATAAATAATGGCAGCAGTAATGATAACACCGCCCTGCATCATATTTGCTGAATATGAAATCCAATATTTGTTTCTTTTGATTATGATATGTAATACAAATGCATTTGCATTTCATAGCATTTTTGCTTTCAACAACCATTTGTTAGGTGAAGAAGTCTCGTATTATCCCGTAATCATCAAAAAAACTGCCTTAAAAGACATGATTTCTACCTTCCTGTGCCAGGTTACAGCTATATGTTCAATTCTTAGCCGATTTTTTGTATTAATGATTCTGAAGACATTATGTGATGGAGAGACCTTAAAGTTGTCTTCCATCACTGTTTTTACTGTGTTCTTATTCTTTTTGGTTCATTTGTTATAATATTTACGGGGGTTTGCTCGTTTGTATTTCCTGATCTAACTGGGTGGGCGCGGCAAGAAGAGGTGCAAACTTGAGGAGAAGCACTCATGTTAGCTAATTTATGGAAATATTTGTGCAAATATGTTTGATTTATCCGTCCTCTTTTTAATGGTATTAATTGTATTTATCTACTTAACTCTTGTTCCCAATTGTCATGTATAAATCATATTGTGAGACAAGAGTTTATTTTATAAAACAAAGTATGGTCAAATTTGTAAGAGTGGGAAAAATGTGTATTTAAGATGGTAGAAGGAAAGAGGCGGACAGAATAGGAACCGTTCTTTTGCATCTTCTGGAGCACAAAATTATTGTCTTGATGAGTATCCACATAAACAGTCAGTTATGTCTTAATTTGTATCTTTGTATCTAATGTCTCTGAGATAATATGAATAGTCGAGGAGTTTGAGAGTTATAAGTGAAGTGGGAAAAAAGTATGGGGGTGAGTTTCATATAGTGCTGAGTGGCTTCTGCATTTCTTTGCTATGCATTATAGTTGTATGAGTCTTAAAGACACAGTTTAGCCAAAAATGGAAATCCTGTCATCACATATTTCACCTCATCACCATCATCTTTTGTGTTCTGCAGAAGAAAGAAAGCCACACAGGTTTGAAACAACATGAGGGTGAATAAATAACGACAGTTTGTTTTCATGTGTAACATATGATGTATGCAATTATAACAATAATTTAAAAAATGTAAAATATATTACTATTGTGCATAACTTCAAAACAAATTTGTATTAAATTATCTAAATTATCTTTATTTATCTCTAATAAAGTGTTAACAAAAATATTCTTATTTAATTATATGTATTTAGTATAGATAAATCCTGGCATAAATTAACTTTAGCCTCTTAGGACAAAAAAAAGTTCAAAGTTCCAACATTTTTAACATTCCAAAAATGTTTAAAATGTCACTTCCACCACAAAATGCTGAGAACACAACTTACAATATGATGGAAATCTTAAACTAGTAACCCCCCTGAGGGTGAAACCCTAGAACCGCCCCTGCTGAAATCCCTGCAGGAATAAATATTTAATCTATGAATGTGGAGGCAAAACTAAATGTAAGGGTAAGAAGAGGTAGAAATTGAAAAAGCTCTTTAACATAACAATTGCACGTTACCACTTTTTACAGTGGGAGGTAAACGCTTAACATAAAAGTTTTCGCATTGCGTTCATATGCTGAGTTTGATCTTTTAATATCACTAATGCATAAGCCACATTAAGTGTAAAAATATCCACTCCGATTACGGTGCTGTTGTCTTAGAAGTATAGTGTTTATGGCAAGTGAAATGTGAGAGAAAATTGACTTTCCCTGGTTGTTGTTTTAGAACATTAAGTCACGTTGAGAGTTTTTCACACGCTTTTCCACTCCACTGCACTACCTTTGCGTCTTCTGCAGTGTCTCGCACTGGGTGTCTCGCATTTCAGTGTATCATGCATACGGCTTTCCAGAAACGCAGTGCTCAAGTCAAAAGTAGTTTAAAAGTTTGAAAACTTTTTTTTCTATGTTCCGCTAAATGTTCTGTTTGATTTGTGAATGCCTTTTAGAATGTATTTATATACAAAAATATATTTCAAATCATGTAAAACTTGAGAAAATTGTAGCGCTCCAAACAGGAAAAAATAGGTCAACGTCTGCTTGCTTGCTCGTGTCCATCTGCTTTTAATTCACATGCACTTTGCACTTTTTGCACAATGCAATTCTTAAAATAAAAAAATATGTTTTTGTAAACCTTTCCAGTCTTGAGTGGATCAGTGTGCGGTTAGCCACCCTCTTGTTCATTTTCAAATCATGTATGCACAGTATGTATGCATATACTGCATTGTCTGTGTGTATATACTGTATATACACATACACGATTTGAAAAATATCTTTGGGAAATCAGATGCATTAATAATATGTTTGATAATAAAATGTTTTATTGTTTCAGTCTAATTACCATGTATTTATAGCTCAGTGCATTTTATAAAAAAGCACAGGTCAAAGATGAAAACAGGTTTTCAAGCATCAAAACAATAAAAGTTTAATACAGCTTTACATTTTTTAATGCAATAGAATGTGTCCTGTTTAACTTTATTTTTTCTGCTAAAAAATTATAACTATTAAATATTTTTACCACAATTTACAGAAGTGACCAACTAAAATGTAATTCAGTGTAACAATAGTTTATTTACCAAAAAATCATGTCAGGCATATTTAGAACCAGAATCATTAGATGACATTAAAAGATCATTTTAAATCTTTATCAATCTTTGCCACGATCCTTCAAACCACTAGCTTTTATCCATTTGTCAGCAAGAAGTTTTTCAGCATTTAAAATATTACAATAGTTTGTAAGATCACTTTTTCTTTTATATATTTTAATAAGTATAGAATAATTAATTAATACATTATCCCCCGGTTTCACAGACAAGGCTTAAGCCTAGTCCCAGACTAAAATGTCAGTCTGAGCTGTTTCAACTGAAAGAAACTTGCACTGATTGATCTTAAAATATATCAATGACTTTGCTTTGTCTCAAGAGGGACACCATTAATGTTTTTTTGTAAGGCAGGTCAGTGTTTCCCCTAGGTTTACAACTTTTTTTTGGGGGTGGGGGATACGGGTTCCGTTTTTTTTTTTTTTAATGGTTAAATTACATTTTATTAATCAAAAAGAATGTCGAATTAATTAAAATCATGAAACTTAAACAATTTAACATCAATTTATTAAAAGTTTAACAAATATTACATGTTTAGGGCCCTATGAACTTTTATTTTGACGGGTTGCCGTGAATACCTTTACATTTCTGTGTGTATATGATATGAGGATAGTTTTACTCAAATGAAACGGTCAAATGCTCATGAAGTGACTCTCAGAGCAGTTCTGGAGATGTTGTTCATGTGTTTATGTCCTCATTAGTGAGACGGCAGATGTTAATATCACCGCAAGCGTCACGAGTGTTTCAGTACGAGTAGTAAACAAAACCGCGCGTCTGTGCCATTCATTAACACAGAGTCACGCAGAATTCATATTTAAATATGAATCATTTTGCGGCTTAATATGTACAAATACTAGTGGGAGTGGGCTCACTTGTGTGTGTGCGTGCATCGGGCGGAACTCCGCTGTGCGTGATACAGAGAGCGCGACCATAACGTAGAGACCGAAATGACATGCCGTCGTGTAAATAAGATAAATAACATAAGGCTATTTAGTTTGCTTAATAAAAGAACAAGGTATATACCTGTTCTATGAAAGGTAACTTTAAATTACTTCTGTTGTGATCCGGCGCTATAGAGAAAATATAATTAAATACAATTAACTTGATCTTCAAGGGGGGGGCAGGCCGCCCCCCTAATATAATAGCAGGGGAAACGCTGCAGGTTTATAAAAATTACTTAAATGTCCTAATTGAACTATGGCCTAATCCTGTCTTAGTCTAAGCCCTGTCTGTGAAACCAGGCCTAAATATTCTATTCTATTAATTTGTTGAATTTTTACATAAATATATGTTTCGCTGAATGACATTATATTAACATTATATCAACCACATTTTTGACATTTTATTTTCACAAAAGTTATTTAAAGCATTAAAGTGGACACTTGCATTTACTTTGCTTTCTATGTATATGAAATCACTTATATACATTTAATTTGATACAGATGTCTTGTCTTTGACCCATATATAATAAATTATGCCATATAAGCGCACACGCAAGTAAATGTACAATGGCAAACCGAGGCGGAGCTATGCAGACGAGGCTAAAGGCATTAAACTTTGTTACCTCTGTGAGGGGTCGGGGCCGGCGCTCAATGGTAAACTCAGTGTGGCACAGCTCACAGTAGCTGGTGTTAGAGGAGGACAGCCATTTCTCCAGGCAGCTCTTGTGGACCGTGCCCAATGTGCCGGTGCAGTCACATGGGGAGAGAAGCCCCTCGCTGTTGCACACGTCTTGACCCTCGTGGCAGATCCGACAAATTGGCCGATCACTAACAGAGAGGGGAGTTAACAGCTTTATCTTTAGGCCACTGAAATGCACATCATGTGGAATTCAAGTCAAAACCTTTTTAATATTCCACAAAATTAAAAAAGATTTGTCTACCTCTGGGTGCCCAGGGCTTTGATAACAGTAGATAGTAGACGTCCATCCTTGGCCGTGACCTGGGTGACGTACTGGGCCCGGCGGTTTTCAGCATCCTCCACGGTTTTTGACAGGGCAGCGTTGCCAGTGCAGTCGCACAGGGAGCCTGGGAGGTGGCAACACTCCCCTGTGGTCATTTCGGGGCCGTCCAGGAGGGCGGGGGGCAGGGGAGCACCGGGGGGAATCAGGGAGCAGCCTCGCTCCCACACCTCAAGTCACAAAGACCCTACCACTGCAGAGGGAGGGTGGGGGGCAGGGGAGCACCGGGGGGAAACAGGGAGCAGCCTCGCTCCCACACCTCAAGTCACAAAGACCCTACCACTGCAGAGAGGAGGAACATTTACAACAGTTACAATAGGGAAATTTCGACAGCAAAAATGGTCAGTTGTCTATTAGCAATAATGTAGCAATGTATGAAGCGCCACTCAGACAGAAGTCACTTTCAAACTGCAAATACCAGATGCAAATAATGTGTGGTACATAATGTGGATTCCTACTGAAATTATGCAAAAATTCGCCAGATAAGAGTAAATGTGTCAAAGTGTAAATCACTTTTTTTCTGTGAGAGGAATATTGTGTGTTCAATACAAGTTCAAACAACAGCATTAGTGGCATAATGTTGATTACCACAAAAAAGTCATTTCAACATTTCCCTCCACTGAGACACTTAAAACAGAAGTGCATGTGGCCAAAAGATAAACTAAACTAAGGTAAGACTCACTGTTTTAATAGTACACAAAAAAGCATAGTGTAAAAAAAACTCTAACATTTGAGTAAAGTTACATCCAATTTTACAACCCTGTTGCCTTGACAATTTTGTAAACCCTAAAATGACCTTAAAAAAATTATGATTTAAATTTAAGTGCTTTAATAAATCATAAGCTTCACATTTCTGCTTTTAAATCATCCAAAAATTGGCCCCATTTACTTCCATTGTAAGTTCCTTACTGTAAGTTTGATTTTTGCTTTGTCTTTTTTTATTATTATAATTATTTTTCAAGTCAAAACAGTATGCATTAGAGCTTAATTTGTAATTTTATATA